TCTCTCTCTCTCTCTCTCTCTCTCTCTCTCTCTCTCTCTCTCTCTCTCTCTCTCTCTCTCTCTCTCTCTCTCTCTCTCTCCTTGCGTTGCAAAAAAAGGAACAATTTTAAATTTAGAATTAAAAAAAAGTAAATAATAGAAAATAATATAGAATATCTTTTTTATCTTTTACGATACTTTTTTTTAATTTCAGGCTTAAAGTTACTTTTTCATAATTGATACTTTAAAACTTAGTCTAGCTAATCTACGATTTTTAAATTTTCTCATTTTTCTCAACGTTATATTGAAATAAATAATACAAAAAGATGGATGACTTTTCTTATGATTAATTATTTTATGAAACATGTATATCAAACGCAACTTCCTGTTTGAAAAACGAGAATAAAATAAGATCATTTCCTTAACTTTTCTTGAAAAAAGAACAATGAAAAAGGGATGGCAGAGATTCTTTCTATTTCTAATGTAGATATATCGTAATGGAATTGCTCAACTGTGCAACTCGGTAAACAAAATACGGAAAGGAGTTAGAATGGTTTGTACGTTGTTAATCTTCTGTAATCGATTCCCGAGAAGGCTGAGTAAACGGCGGCAATTAGGCCGTCAAACAACAAGTAGATAATAACAGATGTTATTACAATGTGTACTCTGCGAGAGGAACGCGTCCCGACGATAACGAGATGGAAATTGGTATGCTAATGAACGGTATGCTAACTTCCTCATATTTTCATTTCCGAGTGAAACCGGCTAAATTTGTTCAAATAATGCTGACTTGGAGAAACGCGAGCGTCAAATCGTCATCGTAAACGCATCAAATGCAAAGAAGTTGTACAATTCATGAACTGGAGACCACGAAGGAAGGAAGGAAGGAAGGACAAAGTAGGCAATCCCATGCATGGACAAAGGAAAGCTGTAATTTTTCCCGTCGCCGACAAAGAGCGACATTCATCGGTATGCAACATTGTAATATAGATTGCCAGCCACCTTCACATGCGGAAGTCATTTCCGTTGTGACGTGCAATCTGACTCGCTTTTATATGTAGACAGATGAATTAAAAATGATTGCTCGATTCAAGGGATTCAATTAACGTAAACGAGTTTCTTTCATCAAGCAGAATAGACTGACGTGATTTCCTTTCTCTTCATAAAAAAGATTCATTTTAATTTTATAATTAAACTACCTTAAATCGTTCGTTTTTTTTTTTTTCATTAAATGGACATGTATTTTATATAAATTATTTTACTCAACACTTATATTAATTATATATGAATACGTGAAAATAAAATTGTTCTAATAATTGCAATTTCTATTATCTATCAGATATTTAAAATACCAGTTGAGGAAGAAAACATACATCGGAAATATTTTTAACTTTTATTTCGATGTTGTAACAAATTTGATTTGAATATTAAAATATGAATATTATTTAATTAAAATATTACAATATATAAATAATTTATTTATATATTGTAATATTCGAAATAGACTATTATGAAAGATAATAAATGTCTTTAATGTATAACAAATACGTACAAACGTTCGTATTATATCATGAAATGTCACGATTAAATTAATAAAATATTAAATGATAGAGGTTTTGCAATGACATCAGTATTGGCAAGTATGATACGTTTTGATCATTACATCAGTTTTACACTCACTTAATTTACTTCTTGGCTCTTGGGCCAATTTTTTTATCCAATCCCCTTTCTATTTATAAAAGTTCTATCTATAACAATCAATCTCAAACATTCCACGCGAAAGATGGAGTAACAAACAAAAATGGAAAAAAAATAAGAGAGAAATTGTTCGCTTAGAAATTAGTAAAAAAAGTTATAAATATAAGAAATAGGAGATAAGAAATTAGATGCATGATAAGAAATTAAGAGATAATGAGATAATACGATCGTTGATACGATCGTATAGTAATAAGAGGAAACAAAGGTGAACCACCATGTGAAGCACCATTATGCGTTGTATTAAACAGATGCTTTCAAATTCGTGATTTTTAGCTTTGTTTTACTGATTAAAAAAATTACTTTATTATTATTATCAAATTATATGACAATTTAATTGCGTAACGTTTTTATGCAACTTTATATTAATAATAATTATATACCTTATATTTTACATTATATATTAAATGTTGTGTATATTAGTAATATTATAAAGTTGTAATTTAATTATTATATACAATTATAACATTATAATTTAATATTATAATAAAATAACAACATAATTTCATCATGAAATAAAGCGCGACACATAAATGTATATAAAAATGTATAAAAAGATATGTAATATTTTGAAGCAAAATATGAACTTTACTTAGAAAAATTACGCAAAAAAATACGCAAATGTCTAGCGGAAATAGTAATATGCCTCTAAAGTAACATCGAGGTTATCAGTAATACCAGCTGCGGCGTTAACAAAAATCGTTACGTATCCAAGAGATAAAAGCGAACGTAGGAATCGTTCTCGAAACAGCGCGAACAAATGCCTCTGACGCTTTCTCACGATTCCCATAATTTACCCCGTAACAATGACGTCATTTGCAAACATCAGCGATACAGTAAACTTTTTCTCCACCTGTAAGTTCCAATGTATTTATACATATACATCCGACAGATTTCCAAGAATAAATTTTATGAGTTTGCAATCCTTCGCCTTTCACGAAGAAGAGTCTCAAAACAAAGGAGGATTCGTGGCAAAAATTGCCACCTCGGTCTCTACGTCACATTGCAATATTATGTTATATTCGTTTAAAGGTTGAAAATACGGATTTAGGATTTCCTGGAAAGGGCATCTGTCGGAGAATGCAAAGCGAACAACTCGTTTCTTCCGGGTATATTTTATAATATAAAATCGCTGACTCACCTGTCTTATTGGTCCCATTGAGGAGGTCTTTGTTGTTATCGGAGCTCTGCGACACCAGCCTGTAATCGCCCTTCCGGGGTTTGCCCGGGCCGAACTTGATGTTGATACCATTGTCCTGATCTTGAACCCGTTGCATCGTCATCGACCTTTAATCTCGCGCGCGCGTACCGTATACACTAAATGATCACACGCGGCTGTCTGCATACGCGACTGGGAGAGATAAAAACGCGCGAGGCCGATTGCCACGGGGAAAAAAAAAAATATAATATATATATATATATATATATGTTAATATATATTC